CATTAAACGCCTCACAAAAACTGCAAATTTTAACTTTGTGAATTTTAGACAAGTAAGATCTTTTATGACTTTATGCGGAACAAATGTTTTTACATTCCATGATTCTGTCTCATATAGAGTATTGTATAACCACATGGTCACTTGCTGCTGGCACAAATATAAAAGCCATAAAAATATTGGACAAGAAACCATTCTCATTTCACCGCTGCACTATCTTAGAAAAGTACAATCGGCGTAATTTTAGTAATTTTCTTGATTTAAAATATGGATGTTTTATCTATAAAGTTTTGCAAGGACTTGCCCACCTCTGTTACAGAATTTTATTAAAACAAAGACTGTCAGAGGGATGGGAACTAGGGCCAGGTCTCAGTCAGAGGCACTAAATTTTGGAACAGTCTCCCAATAAAAGAGACTCCAACACTTACCACTTTCAAATCCCATTTGAAACAGTGGCTAAAGGAAATCCAGACTTGTGGACACTTTTAATTTGGAACTGTCACTTTTTATTGTTTTTTTCTGTTAAATTTGTGGTGTTATCTGCCGAGGGACTACAGATGGAAATGAGCATTCTTGCTGTAATCTGGCATATTTACACTGCAGTGTTGTAGATGTTCATTAATATGCACTGTCCCTATTAAATACATAAATAAATACAAATCTTTCCAAACAATTTCCTGGTTTGTGACGTAAGCGTGAATAGAGCCTATTGTAGTTCCAGGTAAGTAAGGCTATGTTCAGACTGCAGGGCCTAATGCTCAATCCGATGTTTTTGTGAGGTCATTAAACATCCCAAAAGTGTCCCACATGTGACACTGGAGACACGACGACGTCAACCACAGCGAGCGTCTCTGTGTTTAAGGAAGTTGTCCAAACATGGACGCAGCATTGAGCACCTGGAGATTTTAAAGTTCCTCTCGTACCGGAGCCAGAACATGAACAACTTACTTGTTTTAAGGAGGAGATTGAGAAGGAGAAGGACGAGGTTTTTGGCCGTGGCGTTTTGTGGGACAGCGGCAGCAACGTCCGTTGAAAGGAACGTGTGGATGTAGCTAAGAGTGGTGAGTGGTGATGTTCTCGCTTCAGTGACATGGAGTTCATTAACAATTTTCACATGAGGAGAAAAACATTTGTGTACATTTGTGAGTGCCTACTTGTGCCACTCTCACGGGAGGAAATACATCTTCGGCGGCCTATTTCCGTGAGCAAATGCGTTGGCGTTGGGCTGTATTGGCTTGAAACAGGTGCTTGTTACCGAACAATAGCCAACCTCTTTGGCATAGCCAAGTCCACTGTGTGATAACATGTAGGTGGGATGAATGCGCTTTGGCCGTTCAGACTGAAGTCGCATGTCGAAAGATCAGATATGTATCGGTTTTAGGAGCACATATCCAAGTGGCCTGAGTCGCATTTGAAAAACTCTGATCTGTCGTTCAGACTGTCATTAAAAGATCAGATACAGGTCACATAGAGGCCAAAAAATCAGATTTGGGTCACTTCAGGCTGCAGTCTGAACGCAGCCTTTATGGTCTGATTGTGCTGAAAATAAACTCCAGTTAAAGTCTACCTTGACTCACAGAGCGTCAGACAGAGCAGGGCCTACAGTTAGCATCACACCTTCAAAGTTTCAGTGAAAGCAAGGGCGATCAAGTGTTGTTTTGAACAAAACGTCAATGGATCCGTTTCTATAAGTGTATGTTTGGATTAGAATTTAAAAAGGCTACCAGACCACTGCATTCTATTTAGTCTTAAAGTACAGACACTTAAAGTAAATACTGACCATATGTCACTATTACTAGCTCATTACATTAGCATAACTGTTTTATATTTGACCATTCATCTTATAAAGTGTACATTTCAAGTTGCTAAGTTGCCTCCATAAATAATACACCACTGTTCTTCTATGTGTGGGCTTTAAAGAGCGGGGCTTTAACTTCTCTGGGGTATTAACTGTAACACATCACCATGTTTCCTTTAACTGGTTTGAAAATGTCATATTCACCAAAAACAACATGTTTCACTTTCCCATTGCTCTCCACGCTAAGCCACTCCCCCTTCAGAGCACTATCAGTACACAGTCAGCGTGCATCTCGCTAATGAAACTACCACACATCGCATCAGGTTTGTCAGGTTGCTAAGTACAGTTTTGTATCATGTTTATGGGTCCGGTCAAGTGGTAACGGAGGGAAACGGGCAGATTTTTGACATTCAAATGTCTCTTATTGAGAAACTAGAGGGACTATTGAAATAAGTAAAGTATCAGAATGTAGGAAAGAGTTACACTCCAACAGGGTCAAGTTAAACCTGTGATATTCTTTCAAGTTGTTGACAAAAAAATAAAAAAACTCATGTCGGTAACGGAGGGAATGAAATATGCAGCACTTTTTGGGCAATAAATAACAAACTGGTTTGAATATTTGCTTCATATAGTTTTCTACCATATGGTACAAGATTAGGTTGAAAAACCTCTTACTTTTTGAATAATGAGATTTTTTATTAAGAAAGGTCATGGTAACGGAGGGAAAAGTAACAGAGGGAAAATTGTACAAGCAAGTAGAAGGTGCAGGATTTTGCATAATTTATCAGCTTTTTTCTTCCAAATACTTTAATATTACTTCAAAATGAAAGGAAACTATTTCTATAAAATATGTCAGTCCTTCCAAGCAAATTTTTATCATTTTAAATACTTTTTTTTTTTTTTTAAATCATGTACCTTCATCAACAGTTCAAAGATGGAATAACACAAGATATGATGAAATACATCCATTTATTTACATGATTTGCAGGTCTTTGAAATTTGGGAAATAATTTTTGTTCCATGTTTCATACATGGTCTGTTTAAAACATATGGAACTTTAGAACCAAAAATGGTACAGAAAAAAGGTCAACAGTTTCATAAACTAGAGTACATATGTATCTGTTCAATACATTTTTATATCAGATGCATTAACTTGCTTGACCGGACCCTAATACTAATATTACTACTACTACTACTAATAATAATAATACTAATACTACTTCTACTAGTACTACTACTGATAATAATAATACTAATACTACTTCTACTACTACTACTAATAATAATAATAATCAAGTTTGCTGGCCAGATTAAAAAGATTAAAGGGCCGCATATGGCCCCTGGGCCGTAGTTTGCCCACCCCTGGGTTAAATGATAAAAAGTACCCACCTACTGTCGAGTGAAAAGAATCCTAACACTACGAGGTCAGACGGTTTCTACAAAGTGAAACCGGCTGACGAATCAGGCTATTCAGCGGACCCTTCACCAGAAAAGTTGCGCAGTGATCTTTAAGTACAAACACTGTGAGTAAATAATTCTGCACTGGAGCAGAATGTGGTGATAAGCTGCAGGGAAGCCGCTGGTGCCACACTGGTCCAGTCCCAGGCACCGCTCCGCAGATGTTGATGTTACAAACTCACATTATAGTGGAGGGTTTTGTGTGAGCTCAGCACTGCTCCTCACGCTTTATTACTCCAGCCCGACTGCTCTGAGCCTCTCCAAACTCCAGGCACCATTTTAGCTCTGCGCAACTGGAATTTAGCAACGCTGCATCTGACGTGTATTCGAATTTGATGTGATAATTTGAGCTGAAGGGCAGAGGCCTTTATAACTCTACGGGAGATTCACCGTCTTTGAAAGAAATGCCCACAAAGGGAATCCACAAATGTTGAATTTTCTCATAAAAGCCACTGCAGCTGATGACAATGAGGACTTTGTGATTGAGCAATGGCACCAGTTTTAGCCTCAAAACCATGGCCAAGTTACTGGTCAGATCTGTGGAGAGGCAACCCCACTCACAGTGAGAATGTGTCAAGGTCAAGCTGTAAAGTATAGGTGACTTGAAAAAAAAAATAATAATAAATTAAAGAAAAAGAAACACACTAACTTATTGCCTCATCTTAATCAAGTAACTTTTTCAGCTTTACTACTTTATTTGGAGTAACATGTATTCAAACACTGCTTTTTTTGAAAATTTGCTGAAAAACAACATATTAACATGTTTGATGAATGTCACTTTTGTTTTTAGCGCTCTGAGTCTCCCCTCCCTTTGCTCCCCATGCTAAGTTAGGGGTCACTCCCCCTTCAGAGCGCTGGCACAACACAATCACCGTGCTGCACATTTCATCTGGTTTGAGAAGTTATTGTGTACAGTTCTGTATCATCTTTTTGTATATTTATAGAGAATTGTCGAGTGGAAGTATGGGTGATGTAGACTTGTGGGCGGAGCCTTGAACAGAATCTTACAGCTAAGGCTACATTTATATGATGACGGTCTGAACAGAAGACACAAAAGTGGTGTTGCGTCTTCACTTTTTATTCCGTGTTTAGACGAGTGGTTTCAGGAGGAAATCTGTGTGCGTGCGGTGATGCAAAAGTGTGTGAAATTGGATTGTGTATGCATGCCAGGCGGCAAGGCGGTGAAGCTTGGTGGTGATGTATGTGACGTAAACGTGTACGTGACCTGAGCAGATCTGACCAGAGTTTTGCGTCTTGGGCAGTGTAGATGGAAACTCTACGGTCTGAAGTATAAGGAGGGTTCGACTAGGGCCCAGGAGAGATTGATAAAACAGTCAAACATGCATGGATGGCATCTAAAATCCTCACCATGATTTTGATGTGGGAATATTATACTGTGGTGGAAAGCAAAAAAAAAAAAAAAAAAAAAAAAAGATTTTGCATAATACCCTGTCTTTAATCAGTTGCCATGCAGCCAAGCAAGTGGCTGCCTTCTCCCCAGAAAAGTTCCATAATGCACCTTTAACCCTTCCAGACCTAAGGGCATTTTTGGTACATTTGTCCTCGCCTGGATTTTTTTCCTAATTTTGCTATTAAAACTCCCCCTTTTATCCCCTAATGAAGTGCTATACATCCTTTTTTTCAGTACAACCTGTTCTTTCACAATCTGAATGCTGTAGTTGTGTCATATGGCTGTAATAAAAGCTATAGAACTAGAAATACAAAGGAAAAAAAAAAAAACGGAAAATAATATTCACACTCCTTTATTCAAAACACACAGCAAACATGTATAAACAACTTTTTAGACATAATAAATACTTAGTTTAGGGTCTTAGCTACAAAAGTGCAAAATATGAAGTTTGTAGGTATTCTAAAAATGTCATTTTTGCCCTCAAAACAAAAAAAAGTGCACTCGTCCAAGTCCTTCACTAGTGCCAATCATGGAAGCAGTTCCTATCAGGCACCAGGCATAGTGCCACATCACAGGCCTTGCATTTCCATGCAGTACACTGCCTCTTCCCCTGTGTTTGTCAGCAGTGCACACATGACAGCCTCCCATATGATCCTTGCCTGCTGCGGTCTTCCTGGTGTGGTGGTTAGTAAGTGTGGTGATGGAGATGAAGTACTGAGGAGTGGAGATCTGGATCTTCCATGTCCTCCATCCCTGCCCCTCCTCCTGCTCTCAGAGGAGATCGTAGGTGTTGAAGGTGTTGATGGTTCTGGACGGGTGGCTGGGGTTGTAGACACTGATGAAGCTGGGGAGACACCTGAAGTGAATGGCACAGGGGAATCTGGAGGAGCCTGAGGAACATCCTCTGACTCAGCACTAAACAAAAGAAAAGGAAAAAATGTTAGTTTGTGTAAAACTTGTGTATTACATATGTACTACAACAAGTCTAAGTCTAGTGCAGCAGGGGCAAACACAATGCACAACCCCATCCCCCACCCAAATGGTGTCAACAGATTATGACCTCACTAATTAGGACATCCACACCATCCCAAACCACTTCATCCACTTTACACATGTAGTTTGTAGCTCGTTATTACAAACAACAACATACATGTCATAAGTCTAGTGCAACACAGGTAAACAGTTGTCTGAAGTTCACAATCTCATCCCCCACCTAAATGATTATACCCCTCACGCATCAAATAAAACTGTATCCAAACAATGCGTAAATAGGCATTACGCATGCTACTATTATGTATTTACGCCCGTTTACTACAAGTGTTGCATGATGTTTGCTCTAAATAATTATGAAATATTTGCTACTTACTCTTCAATAGGGTCCAGATCCTCCAGGTAATCCAACTCTTCATCTGTATAAAAAGTGTCCACATCGGACTCGGCGTCACTGCCAGGCTCCGTTACCATCGCCACTGCTTCCAGCAAGGAAAGTGACGCTTTGCGTGCCATTTCTGTTCGTTCGTTCTTTCTTTCTTTCTTTCTTCTGATAGACTTCCTGGAGCTCTTTATCCTCTGTGCGCAAAACAACAAACGCCTTGGCACACGAATGTGTGTACGCCAAGCGCGCATCTGCGCGCACCTGCTCACACCCGCGCGCACCCGATTCATTGCTCGGCACTAGGCTGTTTACGTCCTGTTGGGTGTATTATGTATCATTTGCAAGTAAAAAAAAAAACATTTCAAATAAAAATAGTAAGGGATGCGCAATTACGCACACTGAGATGTGTAATTTGCCATTTACTTGAGAAATAATGGTACTTAGGCTTGCTTTATCAAATGCTATGAGCACAGACGCTCAGAGGAGTAACTATCTTGACTTACAACAATCTTTGGCAAAGTTTGGGCCAATGAAAATGGATGGAGCGCGTCACGCGCTGAAGAGCGAAGTTCCTATTGGACACCTGTTTTCACTACGTCACCACGCAGCGTGCGTGTGACGTAGGATGATGCCGGAAAGATGCTCGTAAAGCCACGGGTCTTATCTATACAAGGAAAAAAAATTAAGTCTCTATCTTTTATGGTTAAAAAGTTATGCGCGGTTATGTAAAACATGTCCGCCGGTATCGTATACGATACCGTCGGTCTGGAAGGGTTAAAGAGCCAATTTCGCTATTGATCCTGACCTTCCCCCAGTACAGACAGTTCACACTGTAGTGATGCGTCGTGAACCCGACCTATTTAAAACAGGCCTCCTCCATTAGCTGACGCGACTGTCTGTCAGCGGGGGCCCACTCCATGAGCCTAACTCAATCGAGCGGGGCTGGAGCTTTGTTAGATAGCGCCACATTGATCGGCCAGTGCTGTGTTCTAGCCCACAGTACGTTTGCCAGCCCACAGTACCTTTACAAATGGTTTAGTGCACAGCCCTGCCTCTGGCCTCTTAATGAGCCGGTGTCACACCGCCTGTCGATACGGTGCATACGTGCTGCTGACAAACTCACCAGCCGAGCACTCAAGTCTGCTGTCATGTGGAGGAGAGGGGGGGTATTGACCCGGGCCTGGGGGACGCAGAAAGGGGACAAAAGACATGGACAGGACACACAGGGACTGCGTCTTGTGAAGTGTTTTGTGACTTAAAGGTCGTATATAACGCCAAATTGACTTTTTTGGACCTTTTAACCATTTTTTGTGTTGTTTATGCGTCAAAAACATTTCTGGAGTTTTGTGTTTCGTTCACTCAATTGCAAAAATCAATTGGCCTAAAGCACTTACTGTGTGTGGTTTTTTTTTTTTTTGAGTTTTTTTATATTTCTACAATCACTACTGAACCTGTGTCTCCAGAGCTTTAACCTGCAGATGGAGGACACGTCCTGCATTTGTCTCATTCTCAGTTTATGGACAGACCATGACTCTTGTGAAGCTCAGAACCTCCAGAATTGCCTCCCTAAGCTGCAGAGGCTGCACTAGTGTCATATGGGACCTTTAATAATAAGTTTATCAGACTTTGTGTTGCTTAAAATATCCACTTTATTTTAGGGTAATACACTCCTTATTACTGCTTATTAATATGATACTAAGCCATTTTTGTCCATGAATTATGATTCTAATAAGCATTTGGGACTAGTTGCACAAGAAATGTAGTTTTTACTTATTATTATTATTATTATTATTATTATTATTATTATTATTATTATTATTATTAATTTATTTTTTTTTATTGTCAGTGATAGCATTATAGAGATGCAGCAGCCTTGGAATTATGATGACCAAAAAAAAAAAAAGAATTAAAATCCATCAACTGTGGACGTGGTGGGGCCAGATAAACATCAGCCAATAGATAAAGAGGCTACATTTTTATCTATTGGCTGTTAGGTTGTCAATCAAACTCCCTATGTTTCAAGAGTAACTGACTCGCCAATGCGCTGAGATTATGTGGTTTATGTTCACCTCTGATGCGTTCCACACACGCAAGACGCTGTTTACTCGACCAACGCAGCAGTTCTTAGCGGGTTTTTTGAACTGTAGCTTCCTTGCAGTTTGCGCAAAGTTTGTTGCGATGGCAGACGAGAATCCACGACCAGTTCCCCGCAAAAGAAAGTTTTTGACGTCAGTGAAAGACAAAGAGAAGGAAAAAAGGAGCGAAGCCAAACTAAGGTGATGCTTGGAGATTTCTTCCAGCGATGGCGAGGCTGAAGCAGACAAAAGGTCTAAAGACTGACGCGTCGGTCACTAAATTACTTCTGGACAGGAAACTTTAACAGCGATTCTGAACGCACACCGGCTGTAAACAAGCGTGATTTCTAGTGTAAGGACGAGGCAGAAGGAGGCGTATCTACTTAGGGAGCTGCAGAGTCACTGTATTTTTCTTTCCTTAAAAATCTTCTATACAACCTTTAACTCATGGTTAGTTGGACTCTAGTAAGTAAGTAAGTAAGATAAATGTATTAAGTGCAAATAAGTAAAAACTACATTTCTTGTGCAACTAGTCATTAACAACACGTTTAATACCAAAAGCTTATTAGAATCATAATTCATGGAGAAAAATGACCTATTATCATACTGATAAGTGGTAATAAGTAGTGTGTGAATAGGAAAGTGTTTGTAAAAGTCTAACTAATTGCAGAATAAGCTTATGGGGACTTAGACATTAAAGAGACAGTTGAGAATTTTGGACATAGGGCCTCATTTCCTAGTAAGCCAGAGTACTGTAGATATGTGGAGACAGTTTTGGAAATAATCCATCCAGTCCTTGTATTTGCAGAGGTCGTTGGTGCTAAGCTAGTGCATGTCAATGGCCACAGTTAGCCTGCCACTAAAAACGGTCTTATCTACTCCACAAAACACCCGAAACAAATCTATTATTACATCAGACTGTCAATGTGAATGTCTGTGTCAATAGAATAATTTTAGAAGTAAAATTAACCTTGTATCACATGAATCGTCACACACTGAGGGACTATTTTCTGAGCAGCAGCAGAATTTTACTCTGCTCTAGTTAGTTGTGATGATATGGACGTGGCTGTATCTGGAACAGGTTTCTTCATGTGCGCTATGTGTCGCTATGGCAACTGCAGGTAAACAAACTATTACAGAGCCAGTTGGTACCAGGTGATATCGGTCCGCCGCTGCTGAGCTTTCTATCAGGAAGTACAACTCACTGCTGCTGCTCAGACAGAAATCCTTCAATTGCAAGGTTGGTTTTACTTCTAAAATTATTCTGTCAGACATTAACAATGACAGTCTGGTGTAATAATAGATTTGTTTCAGGTGTTTTGTGGCGTGGGTAAGACTGTTTTTAGTGGCAGGCTAACTATGGCCATTGACTTGCACTAGCCTAGCACCAGTGACCTCTGCAAATACAAGGACTGGATGGATTATTTCAAAAACTGTCTCCACACATCTACAGTAGTCTGGCTCACTAGGAAATGAGGCCCTGTGTCCAAAATTCCAAACTGTCCCTTTAAGAAGAGCTGAATAAACACTAATTAATGACAAATTAACCATCTACAACTATGCAAATTAGCAGTTAGTTACATGTTAATAAGTGTAACCTAAAATAAAGTGTTACCCAAAATATATAGAGAAAAAATACTGTCCTTATATCTGTTATTGGACTTTAAGCATTCCCCAAAATATTATTATTATTATTGGTTTCAGCCTAAAACGTCCATATCGGTGCATTCGGCCCATTATATATTTGCGAATGAAGCTTTACGTAGCCCTACTACAACTCCAGACGTGTTTTTGACGAGAAAACAACTCTGTATTGGTAAACAGTAAAATAGTCGATTCTGCCCCACTTCCCCCTCCACAGCGTGACCCACTTCCAACTGTCCACGCGCTGCAAAATTACGCTCGACTTCTAGAATTTGTTGCGTGTGAACGTGACCCCGGCGCGACCCCGAACAGGACTGTACCTCGGAGCGCGGGAGTCATCGCTACGTGCTTTGTGTCCGCTCGCCTGACGACACGAGATGGATGGTCCGGTAATGAAAATTCTAGTGAGGGGCCGCTATTGTGTTGCTATGTTATTTGTACAGCGCCGTGAAGGCTCTGTCCACTCCAGCTCCAGCTATAACTCTCCCGAAGACAAACACAGCCGCTGGATCAAATGAAAGGTAGGTCCGAGCAACGGGGTATTACAAAAACAACGGATGAGCTAGGTTTCATTGTGGCGTATTCTCGTTCCCGTGTTGTCCCTCTCACTCACTGGAGCTAATGGTTATTTACCTTGTCGAGAAAGGGCTCCGCGTTCTCACCGCCCCGGAGAAGAAAAACCGCAGACACATACCAGGAATCATCACTCAAGTGCGTTTCCCGGGTGACGCTACTCACAACTCACCACTCACTCCGCAAGAAAGATACTCAGAAGTTGTAGTAGTTTGTAGAGTAACTTTGTAGAGATGCATCGAGCAACTTTTCTGGTGGAGAGTCTGTTACCTCCTTGTCAGCACGGAGATGTCATTGCTTTGCCTGGAATGTAGCTTGTTTTCTTGAGGGTCCGTCACCTTCTTGTCTCCGTGGAGATGTGCCTAGAATGTTCCACAGTATGGCCTTAAACTTATGAATCTCCACGAAGACTCACAAGCCAAATTATAGGTTAAATTTGTGTAGAGACAACCACACTCATAGTAAGAATGGATGTTATTTAAGATATTTTTGATTAGTTTAATACCATATAAATTAGACATGTCAAACTCAGGCCCAGGGTCCAAATTTGACCCATGATATAATTATTTTTGGCCCGTGAGATCATATCAAATATGTATTAGAGTTGCCCGCCTGCTATAGATAGGCTTTAGAGAGATTATTTATTTAAAATTGTGTTATTATTTTATATTATGGTTGTTCTGGATTCAATGTTTAAGCAAAACTATTATTTGAATAAGAAAAGGTTTTACATTACATATCTCAAAAGAAGAGAAAACATGCAGATGTTTTTAATCATTTTTAAGTAAATATTTTTGTTTAGCCCATGACCAGTTTTTAATTTTGGCTTGGAATATCTCCATAGAGCCAGAAAAGTTACACAGTGCACCTTTTAACATATCCCTCTAGCATTTATTCATTTCGGGTGTTTCTGTTACTCAAAAATACTATAATTTCTTCTGTGAATAGGGGCGACTCTCCACTCCAACTGCAACTTGTAACTGCTG